TGGCCCCCGGCCTCTTAAGTGAGATGGGCGCACAACCCTAGAGTCGGACACGACTGGCCCGTACGGGCAGGGGTAGCTTTTTATGATTATAGAAACCATTTTTAAATTTGCCATTGACAGGTTTACAGTGCAATCCCATGCAGGTTGGAATTAAGTGTCACTATGCTCAATACCTATCAATTCTGAAGGAAATCAGCCCCAAGTGCTCACTGGAAGGACAGATCCTGAAGCTGAGGCTCCAATACTTTGGCCACCTCATGAGAAGAGAAGGCTCCCTGGAAAAGACCCTGATGTTGGGAAAGATGGAGGGCACAAGGAGAAGGGGATGACAGAGGACGAGATGGCTGGACGGTGTTCTCGAAGCTACCAACATGAGTTTGACCAAACTGCGGGAGGCAGTGGAAGACAGGAGTGCCTGGCGTGCTCTGGTCCATGGGGTCACGAAGAATCGGACACGACTAAACGACTAAACAACAACAAATGCTCAATACTCCCAGGGAGTGAAGTGCATACCATTGTAGCTCAAATCTAAAACAACTGTAATGTACTAGTTTCCTCTCCCTTTATCTGCGTTCTAATATAAACTGTATATATTTTGCTGATGATGATCTTCAGGCCTGTGCATATTCCTGGGATCACATACCAAACAGCAGTGGTTGGCTGGTAAACCAATCTAAGCCAACACGTAGGAATGAGAGTCCATCTCACTTCTGCTGACATGTCTTTATTCATTTCGCATGACTAGTTGACTCATAGTCGGAAGCCTGCCTCAGGCAGTGCTTTGTATTTTAGACAGGATAGCAGGAGGGAGAGAAGAAGAAAGCAGGAAATATGTGGGTGACAAAGGGTGCCTCCAGACTGTCACTATTTTGCAGGAGGGATTCAAGTGCATACTAGAACGTTAGCTTTACACAATTAAAGTGGACTAAAGTGCTCTGTTGGCCTAGTGCAACAAATCCACTTTTCAAATCACAGGGAATTTGCAGTTAGGGAAGTGAGGTGTAAATGCACCCGTTTTGGCATTTGAAAAACTTTTAAGATGTTATATGCTCAATGCCCAGGAAATTGCTTTTTCTTGTTAAAAGCTACTGGAAATAAATAAAACAGACATGTGTTCTCTCTTGAAGACTTGACAATCTAAATTGGCTACTATTAGCCTCCTTGGGAATTAATTATTCCAGGGTACTCTAAAACCAAAATGTGCTTGAAGCAAAGACTTATTGACACAGCAACTGTCCCCAGCTTTGTGCCCTGCAAATATTTTGGACTGCAACTCCCATCAGCTGATGGGAACTGTAGTCTGAAACATCTGGAGGGCACCAGGTTGGAGAAAGCTGGGGCTGTCATATTAGTGCATCATCATAGAGCATCAGTTAGCTAGTGTTGTCCTATTATTTTGCATTCCTTGTTCCCAATACTTTATTTACTAAACATGATAATGGCCAGATTTGGGCAACCCTTTTCACTCATTTTATTTAATGTAGGTGTGGGAAGCCATATATTGCTGAACTACAACTCCCATCATCCATTGTGAATGGCCATGCTTGCTGGAGCTGATTGAAATTGTAGTTCAAAACATCTGGACAGCCAAAGGTTCCTCACACCTGATTTAATGTCTTGCCTTGTGCTCTATTGACAAGTCTTATGACAGTAATCCCTGCTGTGTAACCTTTATGTCTCTGTGGGTTTTAGAGAGTAGAAAATTTGATTCATATTTTTTCTCCAATGTGATTTTTATAATGCCCCATGAAAAGCACTTATTTGTGCACAGATTGAATCTTATCTAGGAAAGGATGCAGGTTTTATACCAATTTCCAATTAGCATATATCACAACCTTTATTACTGGGGAGAAGGGAACATCCCAGATAATTTTGGGTTGCCACCATAACAATGCATAGCAATATGGCTGAAGAATATTTATAAACACTTTGAGTCAATAAAGGAATATGGGGATCGTTTTTGGTATGCATGTTATATTTGAGTAATGATCTACAGATATACTGTATATAGTATTTACACACAATCAGACTGGCAGATTAAACCCATGTCAGAATTACTCCCCTTTTACCATTTCCACTCAGGCTTAGCCTGATGGGACTGGCAGTTTGTACGATGTGAATTTGGCTCACAGCTCATGGTTGCCAACCTCTGTACTATACTGCTCATGAAAATGTCTTCTCTATCAAAAGATAACTTTTATTCATTAATGAAAATGAAGAGTAAAATAAACCACCTCCCTTTTCTACCGAAGTGTTATATTTTAGAAAAGAGAATAGAAAATGCAAACAGCCCTCCCCCGGTCCAGCTCTGACTCGTGTTCTGTTTGAAGTGTCAGCTCTGGTTTTTATCACCATTTTATTACCATTGAGGGAGAGCCCTCAGCAGTGTAGAGAGTCCTGCTTTACTCAATAACATTTCAGACGTGGCTTTCTCTGAGTAGAGAAATGAGGGGACAAGCAGAGGTGAATGATAAAGTGTGCTGAAAATCCAGGCTGACACATTGGTCCTGATCACATGAAACTGAGGTCAAAGGGAAAACTATAAAACACCTGCCCGAATCTGCCATTTAAAAGAAAAACAAAAAACAAGCAGCATTCTTTCTTTCTTCTCTTTCATTAAAAAATAAATAAAACAAAACAAATCAGTGTTTCTTTCATTTTGGGGGAGAGGAGAGGGGAAAGATATCTGGTTTTCCACACACTGTGAAAACATCCTGATTGCTGGTTTGCAGACTCACAGTTTCAAGCTTTAGACAAAAGGATCATGTGGCATTCATTATGCTAGGTTGGTGGTGGCTGTATTTGAGGATCTTGTCATCTTGGCTGACTGGCTCAATAGCCTTAGAATGGCTTTTTAGAAGTATTTCTGCAAACGTCAATGAAGGTTGCCCCCCTCCCCACCTCAAGAACCCTCATGCCAAAATTTGGCAATGATGTATTGATAGGTGGCCAAACCTAGAAAACAAACGGACAAGGCATTTTCCAATATATATAGTAGACAGTTCCACTATAAATGTGTGTGGTGTAGATTAACTATCAGTTTTGCTTTCCCAGACAATTTTCTGCAGCGATTTGCAGTTTTTTGGGGGGTGGGGGGGCGGAATCCTCATAAAATCCTCACCAGCTTTTTAGCATAAATTTGTTTATTTATTGAACTTATATCTCACCCTTCCTCCCGAAGGACCCCAGATTTTGGATAACGTACACGTTTGCCCTAATATAAAACACTTTTGCATGTTATTTTCACTTATTCCCCCCCCCCCAGTATATATGTATTTTTATGCACACTCTACCCTAGTATATACATTTTTAATGCATTATTTGGCTAGAGTTTTGCATGGCAAGATTTGGAAACATGTGCATGTCAAAGGATGGTTCTATTTCAGTTTGTGTATTGTTCAGAAAGTACAAATTAGGTAGGCTCACCTTTAAATGCAAACTTACCGGTAATTGATTTTCTCCCCTGGCCTATTTCTGCCCTGAATAAGCCAGCTATGCATGTTCATATATGTTATTCCCTTGTGAGGATTTCAGTAAGGGGAAAGGAAGTGAAAAGCAGTTTTCTTGATGGAAACATCCATTCCCCCCTCTTTGGATAAACTTGCAGACCTTTAGGATGTTGGAACAAGATCCCTTTTCCTGTCTTGAGGGACTTTTGATGAAGGAAGTACCGTAGGTCCCTGTCCCAGCTGGATCTATCCCTTTACTACACCCCACATGTCTCTTCTCAAAGAATATACCCTTTTCATATCCAGATACAGTGGTATCTCGGGTTACAGACGCTTCAGGTTACAGACTCCACTAACCCAGAAATAGTACCTCAGGTTAAGAACTTTGCTTCAGGATGAGAACAGAATCGTGCGGCAGTGGCACGGCAGCAGCAGGAGGACCCATTAGCTAAAGTGGTGCTTCAGGTTAAGAACAGTTTCAGGTTAAGAACGGACCTCCAGAACGAATTAAGTTCTTAATCCGAGGTTCCACTGTATTTGTTTGTTTGTTTTTGTCTCTGAAACTGATTCTTAGTTAATACCACTCAATGGGACCACCCACATAGGCATTTAATTCATATTTGCAACTTGACTCGTAAGAGAGGTGGCACACAGAAGGAGGGATAAGGAGAGAGAAGGAACACTGAAGGCTGCCTTATACTGAGTCTGACCGTTTGCCTACATAGTTCAGTATTGTCAACACTGACTGGCAGTGACTTTTCAACGTTTCAGACAGGTAGGGGTAGTCTCTACCTGGAGATGCTAGGGACTGAACAGAGGACTTTTTACATGCAAAGCAGATGCTCTACCACTGAACTATTATTCCTCAAAACATTAGATCTGGATTTGTTTATTTAATTTCTCAACAAAGTGCTGGCATACAAGCAGAACTAAGTAATTCCTCCTTTGCCCAGCTTTCCAAACTGTGTGTTGCGGCACGTTAGTGTGTTGGCTGCAGTGTGTAGGTGTGTCGTGTGAATGCTCCCCGTGCTCCTCCCAGGGCTGGAAAGGGGTTAGTTTAACCTCTGGTTGGCTAGTAAAACTGAATTACTGTGTTGCGAAATGATGCATGTCTAAAAAATGTGTCACCAACCTGAAAAGTTTAGAAGGCTCTGGTGTAGTGTATATGTTGTGTGCTGCTTATATGCTGTGTCATGTGTGTGTATAAGTCTTATGTCAAGGTTGGATGTGGACCCTCGGGATGTTGTTGGCCAAGCATCAGGGGTAATGGGAATTATATTCCAGCAACATCTAGCAGAACACAGGTTCCCCAATCTTCCTTACAAAGCAGAATGGTCCTTAATTCCCAACCAGGACTTTAGATCATGTGGAGCACCTACATGCATATAGGTATAGCTACACAGGTGTTCTTTTGCAGACATCCTGCTGAACTTGGTGAATATTAAGGGAAGGATATGTGAGCTATTGTTTCTGTGAACTTCGTGTTAACTACAGCAATACTGTAAACACAAGTCAAAAGGGCACTCTTAAAAATATAATAGTTCTACTACTACTGCTTCCTGTAGTTTACCTGTTTCTTCCCTTTTAGCCCAACAGAGAAGGAACAGGTAAGCTGCAGGTAGCAATATTCTAACTCAGCCTAAGACCAGGGTGGTGGCTGTCATCATCCCTGACCACTGGCTGTGCTGGCTGTGGCTGATGAGCTTTGGAGTCCCACAACATCTGGAGGGCCATAGGTCTTTGGGAAGCAGAACTGTGGCACAACCATCATCAACTTGAAAGTAGATTTTCCTTTCCTTTTCCATAATCAGAACTTCCTATGAAGACATATCTGCTTGATAGTTGTCTGGCAGCTTGATTATTACCTGAACACACACACACACACACACACACACACACACACACAAAACGCCATACAAATTAGGCTAACACACTGTACTTGGAATAAAGATTGCTCTCCAACAATTGACAGCATAACAATAAACTCATCAACGGTGCTGTGCTAATCAAACAATAAAGCACTTTTCATTAGATGACTACCTCTCCTTCAGTAACGCACTATTAAGTGGCTGTGTTTAATTAGAAAGGTAATTGATGAGACCTTGCTTTAATGAATATAGGTATGCATATGTCAATATCATTCTTCTTAACTTTGATGATTCATGCTCTCTTTTCCTATGCCCGCCCCTACTCAACAAGATGGTTAACAATATATCACGAGCTTGACTGTCAACTTGCAATTTCTGGAGCAGTTATAATTGCCAGTGTTAGCTGCATCCTTCCCAAAAACCTGTGCGACAGGCAGTTTTTACAGATGGAAGACTGAGACTGAGAACAGCTTGCCCAAGGTCACATAATGGCAAAAAATGGCAACCTTCAGCAACCTCACTCTCCTTAATCATAACCATACATAGAAAGCACATGGCTCCCCCCTCGAATCCCAGGAGCTAGGGTGCAAGGAACCATAGCTTTGTAAGGGGTAAAGTACAGTTCCCAGGGTTTGGGAGGGGAAGCTATGTACTTTAAATATATGGTGTGGATGTGACCTAAAAAGCTGCAATCTTAACTATGCCTACTCAGAAGTAAGTTATATTGAATTCAGTTGGGCCTCCATTTCAAGTAAGTGGGGTTAGGATTGCAGCCTTAGAGTAACAAGAACTTGAACTGAGTATTGGTTGACTGGGTACCTTATAATGCCAGTTCAGACCATTTGTCTATCTAACCCAATAGTGTCTAGATTCAGGTAGATAGCCGTGGTGGTCTGACGCAATAGAAATATATATATATATATATGAGTCCAGTAGCACCTTAGAGACCAACTAAGTTTGTTCTTGGTATGAGCTTTCATGTGTATGCACACATCTTCAGATATGTATCTGAAGGAGTGTGCACGCACACAAAAGCTCATACCAAGAGCAAACTTAGTTGGTCTCTAAGATGCTACCAGCAGTGTCTGTGAAAGACTGTGGTTCTCCAGGGTTACAGGAAGAAGTAAGTCTTTCCCAACAACTGGTCTTATCTGATTCTTTTAACTGGAGATACCAGTGACTGAACCTGGCACCTATTGCATGCAGTGCATGTGCTGTACTCCTGAGCTACATGCCTTTCCCAACAACCAGTGCACACAGTGTAACAAGGGTGGGTGCAGTGCTTTTTTCCTAGAAAAATAGGTGTCAGTACTCACCATGGAGTTGTTACAGTAAGTGCTATACTCTGCAACAACAACAACAAAAAGTGGTACCAGTACTGCGTACGCTTGAGTACCCAAAGGAAAAAAAGCACTGGGTGGGTGAGCTACTTAAACCTTCTGCAGGATCTTCATTTCCCTCTCTTAGGACTACGAGGTCTGTTGGGATTCAGATCCTGAGTCTTGAGAGCAGAGCGGGATAGGTGCTCTACAAAAACAGTGTTTAGAGCTTGGAGGGATGAGTGGAGACTAGAGGAGCTTGTTGCATCAGGGGGAATGTGGCTGTGTCTATTAACATAGACCCAGAGGATGCAGCTTGGAGTTAGGGGTGGTGCCTTAGGGGACAATGGGTAGAGCCTGGTGGGATAGGGTTGAACTTTATGGAATTTAGTGAGTCAGGCAAAAAGGTTTTGACTTTCAGGGTTGGGTGTGATGATCTTAGCATTTCCTTCTTCCATCACCCTGCAATTTTATTCTGCACCCAAAAGATCTCTTGAAGGATGCTAGAATTCTGAATCAATTAAAGCCACATATGCACCATACATTTAAAGTGCTAACATACTACTTTTACATTTGCGTGGACAGGCGGAGTCCCCAGATCCCGAGCGGTTTCCCCCCCCCATCATGTGGAATAACGAGTCAAGACAACGTGCTATGGGATTAAATTGGCCACAACTTTATTAAATTTCAAATGTGGGTAGACCTTGGCTCAGGCATTGGGCGTTCTCCCTCCCCAGTCCCCAGCCGGGGACCTAGGGAGCTTCAGGATTATCCAGTGTGTGTGTGTAGGGGGGATGGGCCGGCTCTGGAGAACATATGTTCAAGCAGAGATAGCCGCCCCCGTTACGCCGCCGCCACAGGGGAGAGCAATGACGACCTTTCGGCGTACGGTCAAAGCCTCCCTTCAGAAACCCCTTTAACGGGGAACCCTGGTATCGCCGCCACAAAGAGGAAGATGGACTAAAGGATTCCGCCCAAGGCCTGATACCGCCAAAGTTGTGACGTTTTGCTATGAGAAAGGCGAAACCTGCCAATGCAGGGAAATTCCTTTCCGGCCCTTTAACAGCGACCTTAACGCAGCAGCGCCCGCATACCTGTGAAGATAAGTTAACCTGCAAAACCTATGAAGAAAAGTTAACCTGCAAAAGAAGACATTAACTGAGGGTGGGTAGGGTGGGAGAAGCTCTGGAGCCAAGTGAGGATTCCCAGGTAAGATCCTCCCTCTATTGTGTGGGCAGGTAATCCCTCCCTACCTGGCCTGGTCTCCTTGGCAACGCTTCCCCCAGGTGGGATTGGACAACTGACTGAGGTAGGCGGAGACCTCCAGGTATCCCACCTGAGGGAAGGCAAAGCCAAGCCTATGCTGATGGGGCCGCTCCAGATCTAGGGCTGCGCGCGTCCATGCAAAGGGCGCCCCCCGTTTTAAGCGGGGAGCGGTCATTGTGGCTTTCCCAAAAGGGATTGTAGGTGGTTAAGGGTGCTGATAGTTTTTAGGAGAACCCCATTCTTCTCACAGAACTACAATCTCCTGAGTTTCCTGGCAAGAGAGATTGATTGTCATCAAACTACCCTGAGCAGTGTAGCTCTGTGAAGGGAACAGGGGTCTTCTAACAACTCTCAGCATGCTTAACAAACTATAATAGTGCTTCAAACAGGACATGGATGGTGGCCTGAGCCTGATTTTAACATTTCAAACCATTAGAAGACACACTATTGATGCAAACAGCTTCTGGATCAGTATTACTCAGAACCTTCTGTGCCCAGTTACTGTGAGAGCCAAAGGTCTGCAAAGTGTAGACTTTTTTGGTCAAAACAAAGTGGTCGCATTAAGTATATTTAAATCAATGAGCTGGAGCGTGCCCGGCTGAACACTGGATTGTGGCCAATCTCCACAAACCGAAGGCATTTCTCTCTGTAGCTTTGGGACCCCTTCTCATTTGCTCTGCTAGCAGAGAGATAAAATATTTATACAATGAGTAAAACTAATCTGACAATTAATGAAAACCACAATGTCTGCGGTTTAATTTCTGCTTTTTTATTATTAATTGGTGTCCTTTCCCATATAGATAGATGATAGATAGATAGATAGATAGATAGATAGATAGATAGATGATAGATAGACAGGTAGATGAAAAGGAAAATATATAAAAGGAAAATAAAAAGGGGAAATAAATAAGTAAAAATAAGATAAGGGCTGGGAAGAGCTAACAAAGATTCCATTAAATTAGGGAGTAACAAACAAACACAACCAATTTATGCATCAGAGTCATTAAATGTGAATCCTCACCCCCACTTTCCACACAGATAGTACTTAGGTCTGATACAATTGATCCTTGGGGAGCAGTTGCCTTAATTATGAAATGAAACACCTCTGCTAATGTAGCCTCAGAACCTTGTTAGTTTATACCCCAGGCATGTGGCTAAGGATGAGCTCGAAATGCAAAGGCAGACATTGTTGGTCTCTGATGCAGAGTGGCATTCCTTTATGAACCACTCGCCCTCCTCCTTGCCCTTGGAGTAAGGATAAAATGCAAGACCTCTTCAGTCCAACTCAGCACACAAATAATAATGAAGAGCTTATTGGTGGGCAACTAGTATCTGTACTGGAAAGCCTTTTTGAGCTGATGACCTGCCCTTGTGTTGGTGGGACTCACTCCTCTGGCATGATGAGCCTTGCAGGAAAAATTAAAAGAAGATGTAAACAGCAAATGCAGACATTTTGCAACATAGCTAAAAATAAATGGCACTACTGGCAATTATGCAAGTTTTACTGGATACATTAAAAAGACATTAAATGCACAGCTGTTTTAAGTGTCTTTTAAGCTGATAAATTAACTGTCTAATAAATTGTAAGATTTGTCAGCTAATAATGCTATTTTATCTGCTTTAACATATGCCTTCCTAGTTCATGAAGCATTATTGTAAGTGCCAAAAGGAGATAATGTGCATTTTACAGTGTTATGTCTTAAGTGGAATGGATCATTGGCCATGAAGAAGTGTGTTAATAAATCTCCCAGGCTTTGTTAATTGCACTCAATGAAGTGTCACTGTTAAAACACAAAAGATGTGATAGAGAAAGCTGAACATAATGTCTTTCAGTTTTACAATTAACAGTTCACTAGGCAAATCGACCAAAAAGACCATAATTTGTTGAAGCCTTATTAACTTACATTTTCCTAGTCAAGGTCATAATTGTGAATGGCTTAAAGCTATCTTTTTTATGCTCATCAAGAAGAAGTAACCTTGCTGGAGAGAATGAACTCCTCAGTCTCTCACTGGTGCTTATCGCTTGCCCAGCAGGTAGCAGACAAATAAAGCTGAACTCTGTCACATAACAGCCTCTCCAAGTTATCCGCCATCCAGAAAATGTACCTGAGATGTCTGAAGAGCTTTTCCTGAATGTAATGGGCACACATCATCATCCCAGCTGTGGCTGCTTCTTCTTTTATGCTTTGCATTTCATGGCATGCCCTCTGTGCTCTAGGACCTTGGAACACTAAGGGAGATGGGCAGTGAGGGGGTGTGCATGGTTTGACATCACCCAATTTCCACATCACTGTTTTAAATATTTGTTTTTAATTGCACACACACACACATATTGAAAATCAAGACTGCTAGATCAGGCCAATAGCCCAGAAACTGGCCATCTAGTCCTGCATCCAGATCTCACACAAGGCCCAAGGGAAGCCCTAAGCAAAACCTGAGTACAACAGCACTCTCACCCACCTGTGATCTATAGCTACTGGCATTCAGAGGCATACTGCCTCCGACAGCAGGGGCAGAACACAGCCATTGGGCTGGTTGCCATTGATAGTCCTATACTCCATGTCTAGTCATATTTTAAAGCCATCCAAATCGGTGGCCATCTCTGCCTTCTGTAGAAGCAAATTTCTAAAAGATGGTCCTTGTCCCACCCCCACAGCTGCAAAACTTGCATATGCAAATTTAAAAATTGGTGGTGGAGAAAATATTTACCAATATTTCACTAGATTTAATGTGCACATGGTAGGTTCATTAGTGGACAATGAATCCATACAAAAAGTGACCTTGCACGTGCTTCTTATATGTTGTCTTTTTCTTTTTCTTTTTAAAGGATGCTGCCTTTTAAAAAACAAAACAAAACAAATCCATTTGAAATAAAAAGGTAGCGTAAACCCTGTGGATTTGTGTTTAGTCCTTGTGGCTGGCTCCTTGTGTTGATCACAACCAGTAAAAAGGAACTTAAAAAAAAACAACAGAACAAGAAAATGTCAAGCTTTTAATGTAGCTATTTAGCATGCAAAACACACTAATAAAATCTGATGTAGCAATTCTTTATTATTTCATGGGGGAAATGGGGGCAAGAATAGCAACGTTCTCCATACCAATGTCACATTTAATTGACTTCAGAGGGAGAGCAACCAGAGGCAGTTTGACGAGTGTATTTTCAAAATGAAATCAAAGGTGCCTCTTCTCTCCTTTCTGTAGCTGCAAAGTTCCTGCCTGCAGTTGGATGTCATTAACCAAAGCACCTCCAAAGGAAAGAATTACTGGCTGCTGGGGTCGGTTAATCAGTATCAAATTTACTGGCCCTCATCAGTTTTACTTTAATTAAAAATAAATAAACCTTCCAGTAACTAAATTTGCTAGAAATCATAATAAAGACACATAATCTTGCTGATCCAACATCAAGTGTTCACACCATTAACAGAGCTCTCACTCTTTCTCCAGCCACAGCACACCACTTGAATGCATTATCCAAC